TGGCGAATTTTTCCATCACACACTCTTTCATCTGCATGCCATCTAGTATTCTTTGCATCACTAATATTAGCAAACAATATCTTGAACCTTAGAATTACCGATAGGTACCACATCACCTTGACAGAAACACCCTTGCTAGTTGCACCATTGTCGTCTTCAACACCATTGTCCTTCTGTTTTTAGGGCGACACCCCATACCTCAGGCACTCTTTCAAGTTTTCAAACTCTTTCCTATATAAGATGAAATCATTACGACAATCATGTATTTTGACATAGTCCAAACCCATTAGACACAATATCTTCTTGAACTCATAAGTACGGTTTGACAACATGTTACCTTCAGAAAGCATTTCTTTTAATAATTCGAGCAATTCAGTGAAACTTTTACCCCTCCACCCACCTCTTGCCTTAAGATTAAATAGTCTTAACACAACTGACAATCTTGTAAAACCTTTACATCCCTGGTACAATGAATCTTCCATGTCTCTTTGCAAAGTATCTACCATACTAGATGTATTTAAAACATCTACTCCAATATCAAGTATGATGTCTTTTAGATTATCAGTCATACATTCATCATCTTCAACTGCTTGTGACAAAGGTCTCTTTTTTGTCCCTTCACCATTCCATACTCATTTCGTGTAATTTTGAATAATTCCATCACAACCACAATGATTGAATATAACATCCCTTGGATGTTTTAATTTCATATTATAGAATTTCATACAAGGGCACCAAAAAATCCAATTATTGTCAGGAAGGTTTTTTTCCCCGTGAAATCAATAAATTTTAACAATCCATTCTCATACTCGCTACTTAATCAATTGGCTTTCATTCAACTACGATCCATAATCACATAAAGCTTCTGAAAATAAAAATAATACACATTATTACATCAAACTATGTGTAAAAAGGGATATTAAAGAGGCGAAAAAGAAATTGGAAAACATAAAAATATTTCCAACATCCAAGAGAAGAAAACATATAGAATTAAAGAACCAATAATGAGAAAACTTAACATGCGTGAAACATTTTGGCTTTTAAACTTTCAAGGATCAGAAAAGATGAAGAATCAGAAGAAACAATATAAATGTGGAATTCCTCGTTGAACCAAAACACCAAAAAAAACTTCATCCAAAGAAATTAGAGAAGAAGAAGAAGAATCAAAATGAGTACTTCTGTTGAAGCTTTCAATAATGTTGTTATGGTTGTAGAGGCTGCTCATGTGCAAAACCCTACTCATAACCAAGAAGTCGAAAGAATCCTCCCTTGTGCAACCGAACTTTTGAGACTCATGAGAGCTCCTAGGAAAAGGAGATCAAGAAGAAGAAGAAGAAGAAGAAGAAGAAAGGTGAAAAGACCACCATCATTGATTCTGACGATGAGGATGAAGCAGATTATACTTGGTCAAACTATCTCTCAGTCAGAGGATTTAGATATGATTATTAGTATGATGAAGCCTTTTTGTAAGGATTATTAGTATGAAAGTTTTATTCAGCTAAAGTTTTATTCAACTTAACTCTTAGTATGATATACACTTTATGGTTATATGCTATAAAATCTGAATAAAACTAAAACAAAATAATCCATAATAATGATTTGCAACAACAAAATTGGAGAACAACAACAAGAACAATAGTAATGGAGAAGAACAATAATAACATACTGGAGAATAATGGTGAGATATGTTTTTCGCTCGCTATGGCTCCTTGGAGGAGAAGTGTTATTTTTCTAGGGCTCGAAAAGAAAATGAAAGAGACACTGGGGGATACATATTATAAAGTGTATTTATCTCAGTTTTACTTAAAACTGAGGTAACATATCCGACGTAAAATCTATACAAAATAAATGCGCATTTTTGGTTGCAAAAAAAAATTATGGAGTTTTTATCTCGGATTGACTGAAAACCGAGGTAACATATCCGACGTAAAATATTTAAAAAATAAAGACACTTTTTTGGTTCCATATAAAACATTAAATAGCAAGAGCTGGGAATCGAAGCTCAAACCCTGAGCATATATTTATGTCGGTTTTATAAACATATGAGGTAACTGATTTATTATTATTATTTTTAAATAAAACAATATGCTTCATTCACATGTACCCGCAATTTTATTTTATACGTTATGAAAGCTTCGTCATGAAAAGTGTTATTTGTTGTAGTGTAGTCATAACAAAGAATGACCATGAGAAAATTTCTCGGTTGAAAGAACATTTATGTAGCCTTTTTCAAACTAAGAACTTGGGAAAGCTAAGATATTTTCTTGGGATTGAAGTTTCTCAGTCAAAGGATGGGATTATCATCTCATAGAGGAAGTATGTCTTAGACATACTTAAATAAACCAGTATGTTGCACTGTAAATAAGTTGATAGTCCCATGGATCAAAATGTAAAATTACTTCCTAGTCAAGGGGAGCCTTATTCCAATAGAAGGATATTAGAAATTGGTTGAAAAAAATTCATTTATCTCACTATAACAAGACCAAATATTTCCTTTACGAATGATGTAGGAAGTTAATTCATGCAACACAAATGATCATTGGGAATTTATGTCCAGAATTCTAAAGTACCTTAAAAGGGCACCAGAACATAGACTATTTTATGATGACAAAGGAGACACTAAAATATTTGAATTTTGTGATGCATATTGGGAAAGTTCTCCTATTGATAAGTGTTCCACTTCAAGATATTGTGTTTTTATTGGTCGAAATCTTGTCTCTTGGAAGAGCAAGAAGTAAAATGTGGTTGCAAGGTCCAATGTAGAGTCTGAATATAAAGTTATGGCTAAAACTACTTGTGAAATTATTTGGGTTAAACAACTTAGTCAAGAGTTGAAATTTGGAGATACTCAACAAATGAAACTATGTTGTGCTAACTGGGAAGATCTAAATATAGCTTCCAATCTGGTATTCCACGAGAGAACTAAGTATATTGAAATTAATTGTCATTTTGTCCGTGAGAAAGTTATTTTTTTAAAAATCATCACTGAATTTGTTACCTCAAATTACCAACTAGGAGACATCTTCACAAAATCTCTAAGGGGACCGAGAATTCAATGCATTTGTTTCATGTTTGGAGCATTTGACTTATATGCTCTAGCTTGAGGGGGACTGTTGGAATTAGTAGAAATAATTAGTATTGGAAGTTGTACCAATGTAGTTAGTCTTGCATATAAGAAATAACATCCATGTACCTAGGAAATAACATTATTATATAATCTCATTGTAAATGTAAATTGCATTTATTTCTATAGTATATATAAATGGACCAGCTAAGTGCAAATCACTTAAGCATTTCTCAAATTTCTCAATCCTTCATCAAAGTCTTTAAATAAATTTCAATTATATGAACATCAAAATTATTAGGCCTGAGATCAATTTTGCATCATTCAAGTTCATACCCATGTTGTTTTAAATGCTATAGATTTAGGGAAACTCTCGGATGTTGCGGCAGATAATCCTTACTTGCACCTTAGATAATTCTTAAATGTGGAAAGTAATTTCAAAGTTCCAAGGACCAAGAATGACACTTTCTGACTTAGATTATTCCCTAATTATCTAAGTAATCACACTAAAGGTTGGCTCAACTCATTAGAGTCGAATTCTATTGCCACATGGAATGATTTAGATATGAAATTTTTGGCTAAATACATCCCTCCTGCCAAGAATGTTAAGATGAGGAACGCAATCACATCATTTAGGCAAAAAGAAGGTAAATTACTATTTGATACTTTGGAAAGGTTCAAAGAAATGTTAATGCAATTCCCTTTCTTTGGCACTCTTATTTATTCACTTGGAAAACATTATACACTGGTTTAACATAATCATCAAGAAATATGATGGATACATCCTTAAGAGGATCCATATTACCCATATTTTGTACTAAAATTTTGAATTGATTGAGAGTATTGTTGTAAACACATATCAATAGTCATCTACAAGAGCTATGGCATAGTCAAAATCTATAAAGAATAGAAAGCGCTAAACCTAGAATAAAAACACAAGGTTGCAAGCGCAAAACCTGTCAGATAAGCTCTGGAATCCACTAGAAAGAGAAAAGAACTCTGATTTTATTATAATGAAAGATAATCCTTATAACCACGTCAAATATCTTTAAATACAAAAAACAAAGAAATCTTAGTGGACTTAAAGAGACCCTAATGAGATTTTAATCCAAAACAAAAATAAAACTAAAAATTGCTTAAATATCAAAACAGAAAAAATGCTTAAATATTAAAACTTAAATTGCTTAAATATTAAAATGCTTTCTGACGTGCAATTTCTTCTTTGATATGCATAGTCAACCCTCCTACATCAAGCTACATCTATTCCTACCTAGAGACCAACTAGAGTGTATGAAGTTTAGTGAAACAACAACACTTAGTGCTTAGGTGATTCAAATTCATAATATGATGAAGGCGTTGATGACACCACCCAACGTGCAAGCTTTTAATCAAATAAATGTTATTTCTGTAGCATGAAGCCATTGCTATTGCTCAAAATCCAGTTTAACATGACCGTACAAAGCATGTCGAAGTGGACCGTTATTTTATCAAACAAAAACTTGAGGCAAAGGTAGTGCAGTTTCCATTTGTCAAATTTGGAGATCAATTGGCAGATATACTTACAATGTAACTGGCAGGGATTTTCATAACTCACTCAATAACTTGAGAGGGAGTTTTGTCATGAGTTGGCATGATAAGTTAGGGATATTGTTTTCCTTATTTAATATAATTACATAGGGTAAGGGATTCCATATAATATGATTGCGTATTATGTGGGATTGTGTTTGAATATAAACTGACTGGCATAATTTCCTATAATAGCATATTGAAGGCTATATATATGTAGTATGTGTACATAAACAAATACAGAAATATATAGAAACATGTTTATATGTTTTCCCATGTTTTAACATGGCATCAGAGTGAAGGCCCACCACCAACTGGTGGGTCCTCTACCAACAATCTATTTGAGGAGATAACCTCTAAAATAACTCAAATGACTATTCCGCTGCACAAATCGACATCAAGTTGGACGATACCAACTATGCTCTATGATCCCAAGTTGTTGAGATGTTTATCTTTGGCAAAGACAAATTGGGTTACATCACATAGACCTTCCACAACCAGAATTGACGGATCCTTTATACTGGCGATGGAGGACAGAAAATTCCATTATCAAGGGATGGCTTATCAACTCCATGGAACCGAGATTGATCGATAATTTATCTGATTTTTTACATCAAAGGCAGTATGGGATGTGATTGCTACGACTTACTTTGACGACACAAACACCTCCCAGGTGTATGATATGAAAAAAAAAGTCACAGGACTTAGACAAGAATAAGGATCGATTGAGACATACTACAATAACCTCCAAGGTCTATGGAGAGAAATTGATTTCTGCCGACCAAACCCTATGACATGTGAATCTGATATTAAAAGATTCAATTTGATTACTCAAGAGGATCGAGTCTTCACCTTCCTTGATGGCCTAGATGATCGGTTGGACAAGGTTTGAAGCGATGTGTTGCAGATTAGTCTATTTCCAATGGTTGAACATGATTACATGTTTGTTAGAAGAGAAGATATACGACAAACAATAATGATGACTAAGCCTTTGGGTATCTCCACGGGTACGGTGCTTGCTTCAAAGGGAGTGTTACGACATACTGGACAAAGTGGAGGACAAAGCCGCGGACAAAGCCACTCTGACCAGCCACTGTCTCTCAAATTAATGTCGCATGGGCTTAGTCAGAATGCAAGTGTTGATCAAACTGCAAGTCAAAAAGCAACACCCTCTAATATGAAGTTTAGAAAGCTAAAGTCTCAATCTGAAGGTGAGGGTTGTACACATTGTGGGAATGCTAAGCAAACTCACGAAATATGCTTTAAATTACACGAGTATCCCGATTGGTGGGATGAATACAAGGCCAAGAAACCACATGAAGCTGCTGCTAAAAGTGGGTTGGGACGTGCTGCCATTACACATACAGAACCACAACTATCATTGTTGCCACAACTTGAATCTTTTAATGTACCAACACAAAATTATGGCTCCTCAACTCATAATTCAGGTAACCTTGATTTATCATTATTCAGTGCAGCTGAACGTGACTATGATGGATGGATAATTGATTTGGGTGCAACCGGTCATATGACATATGATCCTAAGGACTTTATCAATTCCACACCACCAAGGAGAACTAATATTGCTAATGCCAATGGGGTCACATATCCAGTTACAGGATCAGGAACTGTAGCTCTTTCACCTTCTCTTTCATTGTCACATACCTTACTTGTTCCATCGTTGTCAAACAAATTGATGTCTATTGGCCAAGTTACTGAAGAATTAGATTGGTATGCACTAATATACCCTCATTTTTGTCTTCTTCAGGATATTCTAACCAAGGAGATCATTGGTCGTGGTACTAAAAAGGGGTTGTATTACTTGGATGATTTCAGCACGGATAGAGCCAACGATATGCGACATTCTTTGGGGGCCAAGTATAAGCAAATTTTGTTGTGGCATTGTCGGTTGGGGAATCCATCGTTCAATTATTTAAAGCATTTAATACCGGATTTTTTTATATTTTGATGTATCTGAGTTGAAATGTGACACTTGTATTCTTGCTAAGAGTTATCGTGTATCTTATTCTTCTAGTTCAAATAAAAGTGATACTCCTTTCGCATTAATACATTCTGATGTTTGGGGACCGTCCCCTATTTCTACTATACACTGTATTCGATGGTTTGTCACTTTTATAGATGACTTTATACGCATGACTTGGATTTATGTCATGAAACATAAGCATGATGTATTCAATATTTTTTGGATGTTCAATGCCTTAATTCAAACTCAATTTTCTGCTAAGGTTCGAATCCTCCGATCTGACAATGGAGGAGAATACGTAAATCAAGAATTTAATCATTACTTTCAAACTCATAGAATTGTACATGAAACTACATGTTCTCAAACACTACAACAAAATGGTGCAGCCGAAAGAAAGAACCAACATATTTTAGAGACAACTCATGCTTTCCTTATTGGCTCCCACGAGCCACGTCATTTTTGGACAGATGATGTTGTTACTGCAGTATATCTTATGAATCGAATTCCATCTCGAGTGTTGAATTTTTAGACTCCACTTCATGTGCTCTCAACACATGGTCCTTTGTCTTCTATTATGATGTTGCCTCCTCGTGTATTTTGATGTATGGCCTTAGTCCATCTACATAAAAAATCAGCGGACAAAACTTGATCCATGTGCCCTCCGCTGTATATTATTGGGTTATGTTACTCACCAAAAAGGTTACCAATGTTATAATCCGTCTTCAAAACGGACATATGTTACCGTGGATGTTACTTTCTTGGAGTCCGAATCTTTTTTTCCTACACCAACATCAAATTCTCCTCTTTCGAGGGAGATATGTAGTCAAGAGAAGAATTGGAAAAGTTTGTTTACCTTAGACAACCAGCAGAGTCATGATGCTTCTGTTGAATCTAGTGATAATGTTATTGAAAACCATGATGATTCAATTGGTCCTATTGATAATACAGTTGAAACCCATGGAGTTTCGGTTGAAAGTAGCGATAATGTAACGAAAGGTATTAATCTATAAGACTCGAAAGAACCCCCCTTCTACAGTACCAAATGACCAATCTCTTGAGAATATTCTTGAGGTAAGCTCTTCCAATAATCATGTAAATATGATCAATACTCCTTCTAGTTATAATTTATCTTTCAGGAAAAATCAGGGACAACCACCAGATCGGTACTCTCCAGATTATAAGGCAAAAGGATTGAAACATCCAATTGCAAATCATGTTTCTTCATAAAGGTTATCTAACCCACTCAAGGAATTTGTATATCAATGGTCCTTTGATCACATTCCTACAAAAACTGAAGAAGCTTTAAAGGATCCCAAATGGGTTCAGGCAATAAAAGAAGAGATGGACTCACACCAGAACAACAAGACATGGAACCTCGTTCCACTGCCAAAAGAGAAGAAAATAGTGGGTTGCTGTTGGCTGAAGATTTTGATATTGTGATTCGAAATGAAATGATTGGGCTTTGTTTGAATAAAGCAAGTTTTATGGTTTGGAATGGAAGAGACTGTTTTTTCGAATGGAAATATTAAAGTTCAAGGTTTCGAATGATAGTTGTGGAGTGTAAGTCTAAAGAATTTTCGAAAATAACCTTTGAAACGAATTCGAAACGAAGATTCCAAGGCGTTCGAAATTCAAACGTGAGCGGGATATTGGAAATTCAAATACGTAAGCGTTGGAGCGTTCGAGGACGCGTGGAGGCTAGAGGGAGGTAATGCTCTGCATGCTTCGAACGTGGCAGATTCTGATAGCAAGACCGTTATGGTCGAAATAGTATAAATAGAGGTCTTAGTGTTAGGATTTCGGGGTGTCATATCTATTGTACAAATTCAGTAAACATTCAAAATACCGCATGGATAGGGAAACGAATGCTCGAAAGATGTACGTATGATAACACCAACATTTACAATTCAATGAAAACTCTTTATATTTTCCAGTTTTGTCTTTCATTTCCATTTCATTTGTGCTTCAAACATTTTTACGTTCATGCCTTTACATTAAAGCTTTTACATTCAGAGTCATTTATTTCTTTCTGCATTTAAACGCTTTTCTTATGTTCGAATCCTTTAAACATTTAGCAACTTTTACATTCACTCACTTAATCCTGCCATTTACCCAATCTTAAGTCTTTTTACTTTTCTAATGAACATTCCTTATATCATATAGAAATTATCCTTCGAATCATTTAGTGTAGTAATCGAAGTGGATTGGATGTCTTTGAAACACTTTAATTAGAAGTCCTAAATATGAATACCAGTTTTACAATTAGATTTAGCCAAACAACTATGTCCCATAGGATCAATCTAGTCGATCCTGCAAGTTACCAGAGAAATTGAATAACAGTAATTAAGTTTATTCGATAGTTTGGAAGACTAGCGATTGTTTACCAGAAATCACTGTGAACAAATTGGCACACCCGGTGGGACTCGTTGTTAAGAAAGTCGAAAGTAAAGATTTTTAGGATATAATCTCGCTGTGTAAGTTCTTTTCTGAGTATCAATTTCGCTGTTATATGAACCTTAGAAGTGGTAAAACAACTAATAGTAACCAACCCTTACCCAAAAGAAAACGTAGTAGTAGGATGTCTAATCCAAGCAATCAACAAGGGGAACAAAATGCCCCACATGGAACAGGCACCAATACGTCTGTTTCGACGGGGACGTCTAACGCGATCCCTACGAACGCACAGTCTGTTGCATCTTCTACCAGTAGTGTGGCCACAAATGGAGCAAGTGGCACGAAAACCAACAGTTCGACCCTAGGAAATACAAGGACCACTGGTTATCCTGCGGGATTTGTCCCACCATCAGGGACACAAACCCATTTCGCCACCCCACCACCAACTAGACCACCCGGTTTCGATGGCAATAGACCCAGAAATCCCTCTTATGGGATGCCAACATCTTTTATGGCGGGTTTGCACAATTCCACATCAAATTCGTCACCACAATTTGGGTCCGGATCTGGGGCCAACCAATTTATGACAAATACCCAAGGTTCAGTAGGTCATAATACACTGCCTATCTTAACCACAGAAAATCATATGGCCTTTAGACAATTAATGGATGATAGTAACCATAATATGATAGGAGTGTTAGCGCAGACTATGCAAGAAATCTTTGCCCCAATAGTACAAAATGTAACTGTAACCAACAGAGAAAACGCGGACAACATGAGTCGAATAGCAGATTTTTTTGCTCTGCCAGAAAGGCGTAGGCAGAATCAGGCGTTGGTTCGAGCGAACATACCCATCATAGAACAAATTGCTGATGACCCACCCTATAGACCAGCCAGAGAGGGGGTTAACTTGGGGGCAAGGGCACAAAGACAAGATGCCCCAGTGATTCGAGAGGAACCACAAAGGGGAGTTATAGAACCAGGGGCAAGGGTCGAAAGGTTAGAAGCCCCAGTGATTCGAGAGGAACCACAAAGGGGAGTTATAGAACCAGGGGCAAGGGTCGAAAGGTTAGAAGTCCCAGAGTTTCGAGAAGAAAAACCTAGAGGAGTTGTCATGGTGGGTCGACACCAAGATGCTGATGAAGTCGTTCATAGAATTCGAAATGACAACATCTTGGCAGAAAATAATTTAACCACCATGATAGAAAGGATTATGGCTCAAAACGGTCTCAATACAGGAATTAGAAGGCCAAACTATTCCTCTCCCATAGTAGATTATGTGATGCACACTGATTTACCAAGGGGATATAAGGTCCCTAAATTTACAAAGTTCGCTGGAGACACCAATGAGTCAACAGTCGAACACATAGCCAGGTATCTGACCGAAGCAGGAGACATAGCAAATAATGAGAACCTTAGGATTAAATGTTTCCCAAGTTCCCTAACTAAGAACGCTTTCACATGGTTCACCACATTTCCTCCTGGATCCATAGATACTTGGACTCTTTTGGAGATATTATTTCATGAACAATTCTACATGGGACAATCTAAAATAAGTCTGAAAGAGCTAGCCAGTGTCAAGAGGAAGTTTACTGAACCCATAGATGATTATCTGAATAGGTTCAGACTCTTGAAGTCTAGATGTTTCACAGTAGTTCCTGAACATGAGTTAGTCGAAATGGCTGTTGGTGGCCTAGACTACTCCATTCGAAAGAAATTAGATACACAATACTTGAGGGATATGGCCCAATTAGCGAACAGGGTTCGACAAGTCGAAAGACTAAAGGTCGAGAAAGCCAGGGTTTTTAAAAATAACAAGAAAGAAATTTCCTATGTCGAAACTGAGGAAGCAGAAGATTACCCTGAATTCGAAGAGGTCGAAATTGATCTCGCTGAATTGAAACAGGCTCCACCTTACTCTTGTAAATTACTAGTTCCCACAAAAGGGAAAGAAATGATTGAAAATGAGAAAAGTGACAAGTTCCCAAAGAAGGTGTATACCTTCGACGTAACGAAATGTGATGAAATTTTTGATTTGCTTGTCAAAGATGGCCAACTAATAGTGCCATCGAATGTCAAATTACCACCTTTAGATCAAAGAAAGAAAAGAGGGTTTTGTAAGCATCACGGTTTCTTAGGCCACAAAACCTCACAATGTTTTCTTTTCAGGGATCTGATTTAAAATGCAATCAAGGATGGTAGATTAAGGTTCGCTGACAAGCCAAAGATGAAAGTGGATGATGACCCTTTAGATGTTGCTGACACCAATTACTCTGAACCTGCATACATTGGAGAGATAAATATGGTTGGAGCAAATGAAGGTGACACTCCATCAGAAGAGGAAAACACTGAAGATGAAAACTACGTGTTAGCTGAAGTCGAAAAGGAAGTTACTGAGGACTTCCATAAGGAACAAGAAGCTTTGATC